CAAATTACTTGTTTCGAAAGACTGTATCAAAACTCAGTTATAGTAAAATATCTCCGTTAATTTGCTTTTCAAAACTGTGTGGAGTATGTATACGTCTTTTTATGATGCAGGTGTGTTAGAAGATGAATTTAAACTTTGCCTCGGCTGTGTCTGCGCAATGAGAAATACCATTTCACTAGAATTACATATAGACGCAAAGCAATCGTAGAATTCCAAGAGAAGCCAGATAATTGGGGGTTAAAGAGTATGTATACCCAAGTAATTACAGTCTTATGAAACTACGTATTAGACAAACAAACGACAAGAAATTATCGCCATTCATCTAGCACAGCCATCATTATTAGGCTCAGACGAAACACGTAACAATAGAGGCCACGTCACGATCGACAGATAGGTCGAAAGTGTTTTTACATTACGCTATCTGCTGGGTCTCAGCATGATTTCCGATGGCTGTTTTGACTGTGATATCATTTTGGGGAGCTACATAACATGCTAGAGGTTGCATACATTTGAATGCATTAATTTAAAATTTACATCACTGAACTGATATTAGAATAATGGAAGATCAATAAGGACATAGTAAAGTAAAGTTTGTCCCACTATACGCCATGTAGGCGTTTGGGGTGAGTGGAGGTATAGCTCCTCTCTTCCTTGACCTCGGCACTAGATGGGGGTGAGTGGTCAGCATCACGCCCCGGCCGGCTTTACCCCCCGCCGGGGATCGAACCCCGGTCATCCAGCCCGTAGCTAGTCACTATACTGACTGAGCTATCCCGGCTCATTATAAGGACATAACCGGCAATATTATTTATAACTATTTAATATCTTTTGTGATTTTGTTGTTCGTGTTTCTCTTTGTATCCTTTTCAGTTCTTGCCTGCAACTAGTTCTCTTGGTGTTGTCAAGTGCTTTAATATATTAATTATTACCGTTGTTACCGCACGTAATATTAGTGATTGTTATTTTTATACCCAAACAGCTCCATCTGGATTGCCGGGATTTAATTCCCAGCTAGAATCGGGATTTCTCTATCAGCACATCCAGAACTGTTGAAGCCACCTACCATAACCACTCCCAGCAGTCTAGTAAGGTACCGAGAGCTAGAATACCTGGAACTTTACCTCCACGCACTTACGTTGTAGTGTTTAGGCACAAGGACAGCTTTATTATTGTTATTATTAGTTTGTCAAACTTATCAAATCAAGGAAGATGAGACTGTGGGGGCATGTAGCGCGCATGGGAAGAGACGAGAAATTCGTACATTTTATTTGGACAGCCTGAAGGGAAAATACCGCTCAGAATACCTAGATGTAGATGGAAGGACAATACCAAAATGTATCTCACGATAATAGGTTTGGAGGTTGTGGTTTGAATTCTCCCTACTAGGAATAGGAGCCAGTGATAAGCTCCATAAAAGACGGGGAATTCCTTGACTAGCTGGGCTCTGCTCCACAAATTTGTTAATTATTATACCAAGCACCTAAATTAAAGAAAGTTATTATATTATTCCTTCTCAGTAATTTTCTTTCAAATAAAAATAAAAATGTCGTTTTATGCTATCAACGACGAATTTTACATTGCATTAATGATGAAATACAGTAACGTACTCTGAAACGTGGAAATATCCACCAGAGAACACGATGTTACATTCCAGAAAACAGCCATCTTAAATGTTAGTCTCCTATATTCTTCTAGAGGGCGGTGTGTGTTGGTTATTCCAGTGTCCTGCATTCCACAGCAAACATGTCCAGTTTTTATGCTACCTTATCTTAACTCTAACGGGTATGTTGTGTGCGGCGGTGGACTAACAGGCTCTTCAACATCAAAACAATTTAATAAAACCTGCAGTTCTCTTCCAGCCAGGCAATATTAAGTATCAGCGCAGAGGGCATAGCGTTCGTGTCCAGATGGATGTACGAAGCAAACCGCGGGGCGTTTGATTTTCTTTGGGCTTCTGGTCTTTGGGTTATGACGCCATGTAGTAGAAGTTGGAAGGAGCTGAAACTATGGTAACCAATTAAAAGACTGTATGGTGTCGTAACCCAGAGGACCAAAATATGGAATCACACGTTCATGAAAATCTCATATTGCACGTAAACTTTTCTCCGTTTGAAGCCAATCCCTTCACGTGATAAGGTTTGCTATGACACAAAATGCACGCATATTTCACGAAAGTCCTTACGTTAGCTCTAAATATATTATGGAGAGGTATTAAGAACAATGTTGGAAAGTGTAAGGAAATAAGAACACAATTCAGGAACTACTTACTGCATTGCACGAAAGGGGCTCAAAGTTTTATCACAAGCTAAATCCTGTACAGTTCAATTAATAGCATCCTGCCGTAAAGTTAATATTTAAAAGACCGCTCATTTCGCTTTCAAGTGGTAAATTATTTTTTATTTTGTTTTGGTGCAGGCTTGTGTCAGAATTTTCGGTGAACGAAAGGGTTCGGAGATCAAAGACTGAAGATTATATAATTTCGGGCACTTGTGAGCATGGTAACAAACTTTCATGTTCCAAAACAAATGAAATGACTTGAACTACTATTCAACAAATATAATTAGTCACAAAATAATTTTAATGCCACCAAACATAGGCCACTTTCGGCTTCAATAAATTCGGTACCTGGTAATATTATCAAAATTAAATTATCCTGTCACTTCTTGATTCAAACTGCCAGTTTTATCAATTAAAATTAATTAAATCAATTAAAATAACATGTTACCATACAAATGCAGCAATAAGCAAGGCATTTGTTTTAAAAAATTAAACCCAATATTCAAAGGGAATCTCTTGTTTACAGACTTGTTGAATTATGCTTTTCATTTTCGAGTATATAATGGAATGCTAGAAGAGTGCTGTAATAAACCCTGACAATGATAATTAGATCCCTAGCAGAGACAAGTGTATGGTGGTAACATACATAATCGAATGGACTCTCCATGCAGCTAATCGGATAATGGGGCAGACGGCTGCATCCGGGCAATACCTAACACACTCGCAAAGCCATAACAGCAATAACACAACGCAGAGGGGAGGCAGGTGTGCGAAGATCCTCTGGCAGTGTCCTGATGCGCTACAAGAACCAAACAAATCATTATTTTATTGTGGATAAAGTACACCATTATCTCTCTTAGGTGGTTTTGACTAGTTATTACTTTAACTCCGTCAATTTTGTTACAAAACATTAAATAATCTAATAATTCTAAGCGGGAAGATTGATTCGTATTAATTATCAACGTTGTATACTTGGTGTCATGCGAAACAGATAAATGGAGATCTGGAAGGATGGAGACTGGGGTGGCCGATGGTCAGACAATCTTCCTGTCTTTCAAAAACTGCTCAACAATCATAAAATACTCAGTAACTCAGACTGTTTAAACGTACGCCTCGACATTTCGACCAAAGCGCACATTTACGAATTTCTCGAAATAAACATAATTAATCGACTGGTGCGGCGTTTTATAAACGTAGGAACCGAATTTTTTAACAAGGTATGTTACCTATGTACTCTAATATAACAGCCGATGTCCGTCACTCTTGACCGGAGGAAAATGCCTATGAATTTAAGTTCTGACGGTGGCAACTCAGGTAACAAGAAGTACAAACAAGGTTGTGGAGTCTGCGCTTAGGGGAAGTACGAAGTCAGGCGATCAGTTGTGTCGTGGTCATTTGACAGGAATCTGGCTTCTGTCGACATGATGTTTTCGTATCTAACTTAGTTTATAAAGAAATTCTATAAAATTTGTATCTTCAATGCGATTTATAAAGATAATGCTGCAATAAATTGTATTACTGTTCAACACAAATACATTTCATTCCCGTCAACTTTGACGGCTCATGCACTTTTGCTAGTGCTTCTGTAAGTTTGGTGAAGAGTTAAAATTGAAATAAACTTAAGTATATCACCCCTTATATATGCTTACCCCCCCCACACACACACACGCATGCACGCACGGTCGACCTTCAGCATGAGGAAATGAATAGCTGTTCCAATCTCCCCCCCCCCTTTTCAAAGTGTCTTCAACAAACTTTCTACTACGTTTGTTTGCAGTCATCATCAGGGGTATCCAGCATTCTCAGACACGTAGTAACGATTCGCAATGTGTGATACCTAGTCTTAAACCACGTCTCGCTACATTTGGCGAGAACGTATAATCGCTTAAGCTAACTACAATATAAATTCAAGAATAAAGGTGCATACATTCTCAGTTTGTGCAAACAAATTTCTAAGAAAGTTCAGGTTCTCACGGCGATAAGTACGGAGATGGGTCTTCTGCGATATTGCACAGTGTAGTCTGGTAGCAAGGTGAATAATCCCAGAAGACAGCCATCTTAAAATTTCTACGTATTGCTTTCAACGTGAGAAACTTATCTTCGTACATTATTATTAGTTATTATTGTTAAAATTGACTTCACAGAGCAGAGCCCGAACCCGAAGGTTCATTACGTGTCCGTAAGAGCCAGTGAATGTCATTTGCAGCAAAAGCTAAAGACGTGTGATAATAATTAATTAATTTGCTTAACAGTCTAACAGAGCCAATCATAGCCAGTCACTTAAAACAACAGTACAAGATACATAATAAAACTGACACACAAATTAGGTCAAGTTGGTTAGTTTTACAAGTAAGGATAATTACCTTGATTCTTATGAAGAACTCCGTGTTATCCTTGGCAACTGAATATTTTTCACCGGTGACTTACATGAAACTCATCACCTTTATCAAAAAGCATATGCACTACACAAAATATGAAGCTTTCGGTGAGATAACACCAGCACACTAATTACACACACTAAACAGAACACTAAAACACATAAACACGAAATACACACTACGTAACTCATGCAAATCACATAGCGTTTTGCTACGCCACGTGGCTCGGCGTGCGAAAAACCGGCAAGAGGCAAAATGGATAACTTGTACATGCAATTACAGTATACATAAAACGTATCGACAATTAGAAATAAATCAAAAGTCTTCACCAAGCAGCTTTCTTACCTCGACTGTGTTTAGCTCACTAACAGTCTGCCTTCTATACTCTGTACCGATAACCGGACCATTAATTTGAAACGACATGACAGTTAACTCCACAATCACGCGCACTTTCTGACATTTTCATTGCCGCGACAGGCTTCCAAACATAACCGCGTCCTACGAAGTTCTACAGGTGCTCCGACATGCCTTTCATTCGCATCACAAGGCCGCACTGACACAAGGATTATGCGATTTGTACGGACTCTGTTGGAGTAAAGACGAACTGCTTGGTTCCACCAAGGAGTCGAGTTCTGCATAATCGACAGGTTATTTGTAAGCTATGATCGATTGTTATTCGTTATTCAGCTTTTTCAAGATGTCTATATACATGGAAACAGAAAACGAAAGTAATTTCACGTAGCATTCTTCTGTACAGCAAGTAGTGTACCTTTAGAAAATGATGTACGATATAAATTGGATATTTCCAGCATTGAAACAACCTTCTCGTCTTTGGAATTTAGCGAGTTCAATTACGTTTGCGGCAGTTGGAATCTTTAGCAAAATTATTATAGGTTAGTATAAAAAGTAAAGTCATGGAAACATTGCAAAATATGTAATTACGTCAGGGTTAATGGTTTTATATTACCTTGCAGTGTTTAGACGCTGTCGTTAATATAACAAATTGTCACACGAAACCGTTTAGGTGAGAATACTTTCTAGTCTATTGTAGTTGTAAGCCTAATTTCTTGTTAAATGTATTTTCTTTGTGCAAGTGTTTTATGGAAATTAGAATGTTTAATATATTCATGTATGTCCGATGTTTAAAAAATGTCAAAGTTTCAGTGTAATATAGTTCTGACACAATAAAATAATTTCAGAATCTAGCCCAGTTGCTGATTTTTAAAGATACAAAATATCTAATTAACTTTAAAAACAGCATATCTGCTTACAATCTCACATCTGACACATGATTTTAAATATGTTTTTAATGATAGTGTTCACGTCCAGGCAAATTCTGAGGTAGTACCTTAAATTAGACCATAATTGCTTCTTTTCATATGCTTTTAATTTCATTAATCATCCTGTCATTTGATGCTCAAAAGTCTGAGTTACTAACAGCATAATTAAACAAAATCAGTCGTAATATTAAATACTGAGTGATAAATTTATTGTAATATGCATATTTCAGAATGGCTGAACACAACAAATGTGTATAACAAAGATATTTTAGTCAAAGCTCTGGACCACAGACCACAAAATGTTCCACTTATCACAGTGTCCAATCATCATTCTTGCTTTGATGATCCAGGATTATGGGGTAATTATGTTTTATTACAATGGTGTTTAAATTTACTTCTATATAAAAATAATGCATTACATACTTTGTTCAAAATCTACTTTCCTAGCTACTCTGGGCCTCAAACACTTATGCAATCGTAAGAAGATGCGGTGGTCACTAGCAGCCCATGACATTTGTTTTACGAATGTTTTCCATTCATACTTCTTCATGCTTGGCAAATGTGTGCCAGTCATTCGGGGGAATGGTGTTTATCAGGTGAGTAACACAATTTTACAGTTATTTAAAATCATACTTGGAATAATGTTTGCATTTGGGTTTTGCCAAATATGTAATTTGTCCAATGAGTGATGGTAATAAGACTTGGTGATAACTTATTAACATGAAAGACGTACATAAACTTACGTCTTACTCCAGATCTGCCTACAGTCCCTTACTTTCTCACTGGTAGTCTGTGCCAATAATCTATAAAGGCCAATATTTAGGTTCTAGCTGAAATAGTTATGACAGCATATACATTCTGAAGACAATGGTTGGTACTGAAAACGGCCTAAAATGCAGATGTATTTGTCTCCTGACCTATTTGACACATTTTATTCCCTTGCAGAAAGCCATTGACTTTTGCGTAGAGCAGCTATGTAAAGGTCAGTGGGTTCATGTGTTTCCTGAAGGACGAGTGAATATGACCAAAGAATTTTTGAGGCTGAAGTGGGGGATTGGACGTTTAATTTACGAGTCACCTGTGATGCCAATTATTGTACCAATGTGGCATATTGGTATGGATAATATCCTTCCTAATGAACCTCCCTATTATCTACGGATACGTAACAAGGTCACTCTTAACTTCGGCAAACCAATTGATTTTGGGAACATATTGGATCAACTAAGATCAAGCAACGTATCTCCACAAGAAGCTAGGAAAACTATTACAGATAAAATTCAAGATGAACTCATGACTTTGAAGGCTGAAACAGAGCAGCTGCATCTAATTACCTTGCGTTCTTGATATAGTACTTTTCACTCAAAAGCATTCATAAAGACAATATGGATGTCCAAAATTCAAGACATGATCAAAAAGAAATGAAACAAAGTAAGGCATGGCTGAATGTTGTGTTTGTGTGTATTGTGGCTATTCCACTATCAGTGTTGAGTGTTTCTACAATTTTTTTAAACCATTCCTTGGTACAGGATCTTTCAAAGAAGGATTTTCCAGTAGTGATATAACAGCAGTATCCTTTCAGCCAGGAGTCAGGTAATATTTTTAATTCTACCCTCATTTTGTTCACTGGTTTTCTTCTCTTTCCTGTCTTTTGAAATACACAGAAAATGATTAAAACATTACTATAATGTCCTTAATGTAATCATATTGTTTTATACTCTTCTGGCATATGTATTCAGGGCATTGTCCTAGCTGTCCGTAAGTTTGAAATGTTATTTGGTCACTAATGTGGAAAACTTGCCTCTTCAGGTGCCTATTTAGTCACATTTCTTTGTAATCTCATAAACAGTACAGTATGGCAAGCTTTTAAAATGTTTCTCTATGAGTAAGAATGTAAAATTGTTCCTTCAGGAAGATTTTAAATGTATGTATATGCACTATTTCAATGCTGTATGGTATTCATAAATTCAGCAAAAGTATGTAATTGTACAAATCAACTCTATTAATTTATTCCTTTTGTAGTACAGAAAATGTGATGTAATTTTTAGACTGTATTGTTTGAAATGATACAAAAATTGTTTAATTCATGACTTTAAAATATTACGTTTGTGTGTGTGTGAGGATATTTTTGTATTTATATACGGATCATGTGTATTTTGGGGACTTGTTTTTCTTACGTCTTAACATGAGATGGCTCTTGCTGAAATTGTTTTTAAAAAACACTTAAACATGTAAGGACTGGTGTATTTCCAGTTTTATAAATTATTTAATTATTTTTCACAAATAAATGTATTGAAAATAAAACTGTTATGTACTGGTTCTCCTGAAATGTAGTACTTTTGTTGGAGTACAGTGATATGTTCATTTCGTGTGAGTGTGTGCGTGCTTAAGCGTGTGTGCTTTTTTTTGGCTGATGTGTTACCAAGAACATTTTGATTCCCTACAGTTTACCATTCTGTCACAACTATATGCATACAATTGCTAAACCTTTCCCTTATAGGTTACATTGCTGTTAGCATTATCTAGCAAATCTCTCTTTCCTTTAGTAGACCATACTAAAACATTAGATTTTAATCATTGTAAGTAACAGTCTCTAGCATATAACGTGTATGTAACATACATAACATACAGTATTATGTTACCTTCTTGTCTTACAGACAGCCTGAAGAATAAAGAAAACTGAAAGTAGGACTAAAGTTTCTTCAACATCTTCAGGAATTTACTTGTCAAGATTTACTGAAGATGAGTCTTCTGGGATGTTGTGCTGTGTAATCTGGTAGGTTTATGGATGTTTTCTCCATGACATTTCAGAGGAAATATCATTAAATTTCTACCAGATTACATGGCGCATTATCCCTGGTGACAGTCATCTTTATACTTGCCACTGTCAGAACACGAAATGTTGTCAAGATTGACTGTTCCAATGTAGTGTGGTAAAATTATATTTAATTTCTATTTGTTTTTATATAATACATATATTCTGTATATACTTGTTGTAATTTTACTTTCTTATATATGTAGCAAAATGTGGCCATGAAAAAATATATTTCAAGACTTTAAAAGTAATGTGGTTTATGAACCTCCAAGTGTCTACTGACTTCTCCAGTTTATTCGTATTTTGTCTTAACATGAGGTAATTTCCTATGTGTCCTTTGAATATGAATCTAACAACTTTAACCTAATAATTAAAAATTCATTATTTACAGAAATTATAGACTGCTTACTGGATACCTATCTTTTAAAAACAAACATGAGCATTAACATAATGTCTACTTCACAAGCTTGACTGCTAATCTATTTGTAGCTTCTATGTAGTAACTAGTTTTTGGAGATAGCTTCATCTTGGTTATACTGGGATGTTACAACAGTGTGATAAGGAAGTCCTTATACTCTGAATAAAATCATGCCCAATGAATATATTAAGAATATTATAACTCTGTTTTATAGCTGTTATATAATACACACACACACTGTGGCCTTATAACAATATTCTTTCTCATAAACTTCTCAGAATAAAAACAGTAAAACAAGAAGGAAAGATTTAGTTATTCATTTCCTATGCCTAAATGCAAATTCTACAATTCTTAGCATGCTAAAATTACATTTTTTTAAGTCATGACTAGTACTATAAAAACATTTCATCCTGCTTCTTTCAATCACAACTTGGTTCTTCACATTCAGGATCCATGCTGAAATCAATTATTTAAATAATCACCTTACAAATATAAAAATGGTAATAATGGAACCACACATGACACAATTATCATGAAAGACAATCAATAGTTTATCACATCAAGTAATCATTTTAAAATATGAAGGTTTAATTTGCATTTTGGACAACAGAGGCACCTTCAGAACTTTTTCAAAATGTCCATCAGTTTATTGTTTTCTAAACAAGTAGAACACGTATTTAGATCATGGACTACGACTGTCTTTATTCAGTTACCACACAGATGATCACAAGATATTTTCCTCACTATTTAGAAATAAAGTTTAAAAATAAAATAATGTAAATTTCAGTTGTATATATCATATTGAAAGATTTGAATTAAATATTTTTTGTCAGTGTTGGTTTTCTGCACTGTAATTCTACCTAATATCCACATGGCATTGCAATGCAAAAGACCAATACCGACATCTTCACTGCCATGGGATCCTCAAATCTGGCACTATTTTTCATTCACAATTGCTAAATTTTTGTAGTCTTCTCAATTTCATACCAGAAGAGTGTTCCTTTAGTTACCAGCATACCATGAAACCTATTCTTGACAATGTGTCTCCATTCCTCTCTGAAGTGTGATACTCCAAAATGCAAATCCTTCTACATCAAAGGCTAGTTTTAAATGGAAAATAACTGCATGTGGCATTTGGATAAGTACAGGAAATTCAGATGTTTCTGCACACCACAAAAACACTAGACCACATTGCAACCTTCTAGATTCTGAGTGAAAAAACAATCTGTAGAGCTCACAAGGTAATGAACAATAGTAGTTTGAAAAATACACCTTCCATAGCATCATAATTCCAGGTAGGTATGATTTGCAAGTTAAAACTATCTTCAAGCCAGTTTCTGAACTATCGGTAATTTCTCAACAGATTCTCGTGGTACTTGAATGGCATAAATTATGCTTTTCCAATCATAAGATTAATGTAAGATGGCCTTGGTCCTAGAAAGGACCTGCAAAAAGGGACTTTTCCAGGAATTAATTCTCTTGACTAACCTATCCTTGTACACTAGACTAAAGTATACTCAATGAAACTACGTACTCTATCCAAAATACAATTTTAAATAAAGATGGCCACCTAACATGTCTTAAGGAGCTAATAACAGCTCCCAATTCAAACCTTTGTCAGGTATAACAAAACGTTAATTTCACTGAGGACGTTACTGTATAAAATTTAATTTTTACAAGCACATACTGGTTATTCATTAACTTGCTGATCTTAATAACCATACTAAGCAGCATTAAATTTCCATCTCAACTTGTCACACAACTATTAGTTTTTTGAGTGAAGAGAGTACAGTAACTTTTGGTATCACTGAAAGGAAAATGTCCACCAAACTCAATTCTCACATGCCAAACTGAAGCTCAGTTAAATGTTAAAATTTCTGGAACTAGAGAGAAGAAACTGTATCAAAATTTAGATCACTGAATCTAATACTCGGAGATTACTGAATTTAACC